ACGCCCGATCGCATCCAACGCCAGGGTACGTCTGGGGGGCCTAACCGGCCCCCCAGGCCCCCCGGTGCGGTCGTAACTATGACTCTCTTAATCAGCATACCATCGATAAACACTGGTCCTTGATGGAGCTTCATCGCCAAAAATTGGATTAAGTTCATTCATGCACTGTTGCTGAGTTAATCTACATCGAAAGTTGTATCTAAAAAGTAATCGCACGAAAATGTTCACGATTTAATTCCATTTTTGGACCGGGATGAGTACGTATACGCTCAAAACTGTTCAACTTCACGATAGAGCTGTCAGTTGCCAGATTGCAACACAAGGGTTGCCAAATCCCGAAACATAAAAGGCAACCCTCGTATAGACTTGTTGCTCCATCCCTCGTACGGATGAAAATCTTCAGTTTTGGCAAAGGATAAGTGCCGGTTTATTGGCCCCAGGCAAGCCTTAACTTGATGAATAAGCATAACTTTAATGAAGGAAAATCGTATCCCCGGTGAAAACTGATACTCTCGTTATTTCAATAACCTTTTTTTCTAAAATACTGAAATGCATAGCATGACTTAAGTGATAGTTTTCAACACCCCAATAAAAGTTATGACTAAGTAGTATTTCGTAAGGTTCTCTACTTGAAAAACCTTAGAATTAATCAAGATAAACCGCTGATAGTTCTACTTTAGATACAAAATCGTTTTTTGACATGGAGGGTGACATGTTACCGTAGACATCCCTCAAGGAGGGTATAATATCTATCGCTCCTGTTATAACCTAATACTTGCCAAGTCCCTAATACATCATAGTAAAACTGCAGGAGCTCAATGTTAGGTCTATAACTTAGTTGTTATCATAAGGGTTGGTCATAACACAATTTGACGTTGATATGAAAATTACCAGTTTGATGGCAGCTTTAGCAAAACTACATTGATGCAACAATTTTTCAATGGAATGCAATCGCTGAGGCAATTCGGAAGTTGACACCAACTGATATTTTCATGATCTGAATAAGCTAGATGGACCATTGAAGATACCGGTTATGATTTCACTAGCCGCTGATTAATCATCTTAATTCAAACAGAATGCAGCCTAGCTCCCTTACCTTTACGACGTGTGCCCGTCAGAAGGACAAACTAGACACAACTGACTGGGGTTTGATGACGGTAATGAAGTGTCTCAGACATCCGTACCGACCTTTACGAGGTACCCCTATCTGGCTGGGGTGGTTGGGTGAGTAAATTGTTCATCCGTTAACAGAAAATATGAGGGCCTCATCAGACATAGTGTCTGGGCCTTCTATATCGGGAGGGGTCGTCTACAGCTTAATCAATAGCATCCCTAACTAACGATTTCACTAGCATTCAAGAAACTTATAGTGTTGAAGTCAGATACGTTTTTTTAAAGAAGCTAGAATAGCAGCATCCCATGTTCAGATGTTTCTGTTTATAAGGGTCCATGCATTCGCGATCGAACAGCAGACCAAGCTGTTTCGACCTACTATACGTCAGTGGTACTGCATTTTAACTGAGTCTAAGTAAACATGAAAGAATGTATCATTTGTGGGATCCACAAAAAACTGAAACTTGCTCATCCATGATAGCAGTCGTAAAAACGAGCCTTCACCGCAAAATAAGAATTCGTCTTCATTTCCAGAACCATTGGGTGCAATGCCATCGGGTCCTGATGCCTTATGGGTACTGAGACCAAGAACGATTCGTCTGACTCAGGATGCATAGAAACTCCCTGGTGTGATCACTTGGACATTTCGCCATGTGGTATATTTTGTCAAAACCTATCGACCTACAGCATTTCTGATAGAGGAATAAAAGCATTGGGTGGAATGCCATCAGGTCCTGATGCCTAATAGGTACTGAGATCAACAACGTCTGACCAAGATCACTTGGACACTTCCCCATGTGGAATATTTTGTCAAGAACTCTTGACATACATCATTCTTGATGAAGGAATGATAAAGAGATCTGATAAAATTCAGCATTCCATTCATAGAGGTGCTGGCAAACATCAAGTGACACTGCTTGACTATGTCAAGTTGGCACTTCAATGAATTGATATTAACTGCCCTTAAAGATTTGGATAGAATACCCTCGCCAGATTCAGATTCATGCACCATCTACCAACATGTGTACCAACTTGGGCCAATCTCAATTTTCGCGACAGAAGAAGCGTAACCGGTCTTGGTCTGACTGTTTCTGGCAATGAAGCACACTGTATGTGGTTTCATTTTCTTGATGGCTCAAGGATAGAGTGACCAAACAACTCTGCTATTTTTTCTCTTGAGGAGTTTTCAATCAGCCTTCCAAGCATCATTTGTTGATGAAAAGAACTGTACAAAATGATCAACGCTCATCGAAACTTTCAATGATTTTGAATTCACTTTGGCTTTGTTTGGGCTTGGTCGGGTGTTGAATGACCTCTGTCTGGTGCCTCTAGTATAATATTTTTGGTTCCCAAAGAGGCATTCCGAAGCCATAGTTGAAAGGCTGTTGCTTTAAGGTGATTTTGCCCAAACTTTGTTAAATGAAGGTGTGTTGTTCTTGTGGTTGCTCTGATCACAAACATGATTTCGTAGATTATATCAGCTGCTTCAGCGAAACAATTGGAGATTTCAATTTAGAAAATAGACCAAGAATATGCTTATTAGTAGTTGAGGTAAGTGAGTGATCTGGGCTCTCAAGAGATACTTGTACTAGCACTTTGCAGGAGTCAGAATTATTGATTAGAGAGGGGAAGAGGAGGTTAACTCCTCTGATTCAACTAGGTTTCACTATCTTCGTCAGAGATATCAAGCTAGTCCTTCTGGAGGTGGCAAAGAACTGAGTATTTGACAAAAAAGTTGTGAACAATCTATTTGTTATATATAAAAAAATATCACGCAAGAGTACTTCGATACGTTTTTTGCATTAAAATGCTCTGGGTATTGTTCTACATGAAACATGTCTAAAGCCCGCATTTTTTTGACAGGTGCTGAATTCAGGGAGGCCTAATTCTTCAACTTCATCCGCTGAGAGTATAGAACAATACTGTGAAATCTGTGAAATACTGTGAATCATTTCGGTTTTCTACAATATCAACTGCCAGTTTTAAGTCCGATTCAAGTCAGAACTATCTTTAGGTGGAAATTAGGTCGAGTCCGCTTCCTACGCGTATCTCCAAATGAAACAGGATATCCTTATGATCTAGACCACAATCCAAATAATTTGCAAATGTCGTGCAGAGATATCATGGCACAAGGTAATACAACAACTATAATACCTGTTTAACATGAATTTCAGGACTTTGAAATAATAGACAATAAATACTTGAAGTTATATTGTTTTCTAATATTTATGACGACAGTACACTACGAATTTCAATAGCGGGTTTCACTTATACCATCTCAAGGTCATATCTATACTAAAATGCAAGGAAATAATTAGAAATTTGTCCAATTTAGTCATCTAGCTAACAATCTTTGTGGTTCTGAATAAATGGGAATATAATAATCATCGGAAAGAGAACCTGTCTGTGGAAAATGTAATGGAGCCGTCGAAAAATAGTTTTGGGGGGTTAACGATCGACTCATAAAACCAGAGGAACAATTGAGGAACAACATTCGGCAGTTTTAGTCCAAACACGGTAGCGGTAACAACCTAAGGAAACCAGTTGATTGTTACAAAAGTAAATGCACTACTTAAAATAATTCTATCAATGTAAAATCATTTTCATAAAGAAACATTTATACTTTGAGGTTGAGTTGAAGGAATAAAAATTAAGTAAAATTGACAATTTTCTGCTCGATTTTCTGTTTTTGCTCGCACTGATTTTTTTGTAATATTTATATAAAAATACTGATTTTCCAGCTTTTTGAATGCCTAATTTTTTGGATTTTGAATGTACCAATCCAATTGAAAAAAAACACGTTCCACATCAACCTGGCAATCGTGGTATGAATAAAAACATTCAGAAAATTTCTTTCTCGATTTCACATACTACCCTGTATAGATAATTTTCATGCGAACTGTCAGAACAAAGTTCAAAACTATAATTCTAGAGACAATTTCCGAAAGAGCTTAGAAACAATGATTATGAATAAAAATAATCGTCTGTTGTTTGATATTTTTCGTCAGTTGGCTGCGTTTTCTTGCAAACTTCATGCAAGAATTACTTTTTTACACTTTATATTTCTTTATTTTTAAAACACAGGATTTGTCTTCTCAGGAGAAGCAATTAAAAATTGTTTGGAAACCCGAAAAATAGTGACACTGATCCTTTCAATTATTACCTCTATTGAATCATCTCACCTTTGCCTTATTCATATAAAATTACACCCCTTTTCCGCGAATTGACCGTATTTAGTAGTACCTAGTATAATAATTCATTTGAGAAAACTGAGATATTACCTAATAAATGATTATTTTCCTCAATGCCATAAAACCGATTCAAAAATTGATACTCCTCTTCGGAAATTCAATAGAAAAACTAGATTGGAAAGCTGCCGTACCATTTCTTGTTGAACGCCACCTACCGCCAAACTCTAACCTTACTAATTGTCCTGCTGTTTTAATCATAGATATAGGTAGGTACAAATCTAATGATTCATTATTATAGATATTATTTATAACTAGCGCCTTTAAAAACCACAACAGCCATATATTTATATATCTATGTAAAAAATGGGAATATTTACAGGATATAAACTCCAACAATAATTTAATCGCCGTAGAAAATCGATATAACGTATATCACCACTGCCAACAGCAAAGAATGAAACCAGCTAAAAATCAATTGTTGCAGAAATTGCAGTATTATTATATAATACTCCGTTTGTGACTGCTTTATAATTGGAAGGTTTTGAAACCTTGTAACTACATTATTCAACAACGGGCATCGACAGTATGTGATTTAATAATATAATGGACAGATAAAACCCACGTGCTCAATGCCCACGATCTCGTCCTAGAAATGTTACCTAACTAGCATTCTAAAATTACCGCAGGAAAACGTACCTTCATATTATGTGTAACCAAAGACTCAAAAGAGCACAGCGTGTATACCACGTATGCCCTGATGAGTTCAAAATTGGTTTTGCTCTTGAAAGCCGCCTTGGCATCTTGAAAACTGATATCCAGAGGATCCTTCGGGGGTTGATTTTGTACGGCTTGAGTCGGATTCTCCACCAGCGTCTCAGTAGCAGCCGAAGATTTCAGTACAGTTTGATTGAAATTGATTTTACTAGCTTGAGAGCGGTCGAACAGCAATCCGTATTTCTTATAAACACTACATCTGATCACTGTACGGAGAAAAGCCATTACACGGTGTGTGTGCTGTTAGAATCGAGATGTCGTTTGTTGTAATCCGAGATACTTTTACGAGTTGTAGTAACACACCAACCTCCTCGTACGCGAGACTGAGGCAAACTGTGTAGTTCTAATTCTGACGTTTTCTATTGAAAAACACCGCCGCGCGCACTGATTGGCATGCCCAGTTGCGTGCCGATTGAATACGGTTGAACTGTGGCAGTCGGCAGTACTTTTGCACGAAAAGCTTTTCACAAATATTTATAACACACACAGGGTATAAATGTTTCGATAGACAGGTAAAAAGTCGGTTTACACCTGAAGTTCATGTGAAAGAAGAACACCGGCTGCTGGAATGTCACTTTAAGAATGAAACTGACGTTTTTTAGTTCATTGAGCGAAACGTCAGATGTATAAAACGAAGAAGAAAAAGCCGGGGTATCGCTGTCGATCTCTCTTTATGTGCAGAAATAATCAGTGGCGTATCTGGAGAATTCTACATGGATGTGTCTCTTTAAGAAAAAATAATAGCATTCTCCGATAAAAACTGATACAAACTTTAAAGGAATATAAAAATGAATGTAAAATCATGAAAAAGCAATAATATATTGTAAGATTAATTCTTCCAGTGCACGAAAGAGAGGAGACAGTTGAAGGCTAGAATTTTACAGTGATTCAATACCTACACAGTTTTTCAGGTATAAAATAAGTCTCCAATAATTTCAAAATAATTAAAATAATCTGGATTTTCGCAAATTTCCTGAGAAATTTTGGAAGTTTGGAGTTACACATTTTTATNTTTCAAAATAATTAAAATAATTTGGATTTTCGCAAATTTCCTGAGAAATTTTGGAAGTTTGGAGTTACACATTTTTATAATTGCCCATTCTAAAATCTTATAATCAACAGAATATTTAGTTTTTTTTCGAATTCCGAATTCTTTGGCTACATGAAAAACTTTAAGATTTCTGAAATTTTTACATTGCTGTTTTTATTTTTTCAACATTCACAAAAATTCTGGTGTTTTTTTCTTTGTCTCATCAAATTCAAGTAAAGTCGCTCTTCTGTTATTTATATTCCAAAAGTCCAGATTTGGTTCCTTCAGAAATTTTGAAAATTTGTTTTACGTAGTTCTGTATTAGATATTGTGCTTTGAGTTTGACAAATTAAACAAGACACTTACCGCATATTCCATACAGTTGAAAGTGGCCTTTCATGTCATTTAAAATTATGATTTTGGATATGGTGGTTCATATTATGAATCTAGGGAATGTAGTGTGAGGTGGCAATATTACAATTCCAAATACCGATGAGGTTTGTTTGTAAGTCAATAGAAGTACTATATAATATAAAAACAATTAAAATAATGATTTGTCATATATATATATAAAAAACTAAAACAAATATCACAACAGCATATGGGTATCACAGTTATAGAAGGTATAAATTGATAGTAAGAATCTTAAAATTAGAATTTTTGTCCTAAATAATCCTGTACGCTATAGAAACACTTTTCTATCAACAATTTTTTAGTATTATTTTTAAATATATCATACGATTTAGACTCCTTAATAGCAGTTGGTAGTTTATTGTACAGTGTGATCGAGTTATATAATGGAGAATTTTTAAATTTGGTTGTTTTGTGAGAGGGTATTCTCAACATATCACCATGACGTGTACAATAGTTATGAGTAGCTGCATTCACTTCAAAAAAAAATACGTTTTTGGGCAACAAATATTGTATTGAAATCTCTACCACATCCCCATGACATAATATTTAGAGGAATATGTGGATATGCCATTGCAAAGTATATGCTTAGAAGGCTTTGTGAATCTACACACAATATCATTTGTTTTATTGCAAAAAAGCTGAATTTAGTTTCTTGTAGACACTATCAATATGCAGATCCAAATTTTCCTAGAAATTTTACGTCACGTGACATCATTATTTCATCAGTAAGGTAAATTTTCCTTGGGATACAATACTGATCCCTGAGGAACTCCTAATGTTACGTCATGTTCCTTGGACACGATATTATTATATTTAGCAGTCATACGACGACCACTTAAATATGATTTTAACCAAGATGATACGTTATGTGGAAACCCAAGCCTAACTAACTTTATATATAGAAAATCTGGTGACACAGTGTCAAATGCCTTTGACAGATCAAAATATACTTATTACATAATTGTTAATATGAACATCATCAATGAACATCATTGTTCAGTTAGAATATTCTCATTTAGTTTTAGGTTTTATCAGTATAAAGGTACCACGTGAACAATCTCTTAAATGGTCAATTCTCGTCCATTGTGCGACGCGTAACTTTCATTAGACCGAAAGGATTTTCAATGAACTTTTTCTGAATCGTCCAATCTGTAGATGGTGAAATGGTAGTAAATCCTGAACAGTCTACTTATTCCGTCGCGAATGTTTGTGAGGTGTTTCCTCACAGACTTTTGGAGAGGAATAGGTATCATCCATACAAAATTAAAATGGTACACCAATCAACTAAAGATGACCCTGATCGATGAACAGACTTCCTCGAAATCATGACGGAAACCATTGCAAGGCATTCTACCTATCTCCACAATATTTGTTTTAGTGACGAATGTACCTTTTTTTTCAAATGGCAATGTTCACAAACAAAATTGCTGTTATTGTAGTGACACCAACCCTCACGTTTTCCGGGAAACACATACCTACTCAATATCCAGAAAAAATTAACGTTTGGGCAGGAATATTGGGAAACCATATTGTATGTCCTCTATTCATTGATCAAAATTTAACAGGGGCACTGTATTTGAACATGCTGGAAACTACTGTTGATCCTCTCATCACTGAAATCGTCGAAGCGAATCCTAATGAATTCGATATGGATATTGTACTCCAACAAGATGGAGCACCACCACATTACTCCTGACAAGTAAGAAACTATTTGGATACTACTTTTTCCGGTGGTTGGATTGGCCGTCGAGGTCCTACAGAATGGTCAGCCCGCTCGCCAGATTTGACACCTTTGGACTTTTTTATGGGGCTATTTGAAGCAAAAGGTGTACGAAACTGAACCTGCTTCAATATTGGATACACGGCACAAAATAATAAATATTTGTAGAGATATGGACAATGTTCGGTGTGAAATATCGGATAGGCTGTTCATGGGTCAAGAAATTCAAGGCAGGCATTTCGAGCATCTTCTGGACTGACCTCAAGCTTATTACCTCATGTTATGTAGTTGAATGTTAATGTATTCAGGCAATTATTAAAAGTTCCGCCATTTTGTAGTAATTGAAGATATTGACATTGTATTCTAGGGTTGTGAAGCATTTGTCAGGAGCTTCAAAAAAGATGTGTCACAAAACCCCCATTTCCATTTAATTTCTTTTCCCACATGGCGCCCAGTCGCCATCTTGAGTCAAGTTTCATCTGTTAATTTCATGACTACATTGGTCATTAGCCTCGTATCCTGGGTAGGTTATGTTAATAACTTCCCGAGCCACCTAGGGAGCATCATGACTATTCACAGTCCGTCAGCCATGGCACTGAATAGGATATTCAGTGTCCTGAGAGGGATATTCAGTGTTTGGTAAAATACTCGTGTGATGAATCACGACAAAGTATTTTGAACATCTGTTCCAGAAACGCCGTAATAACATTATCATTTTGATATTTCACTTAGTAATTAATTGAAAGCCCCATGTTATCTCTGACCTGAAACGTTTCCGTTATGTTTGAAAACTACAGGTCAGGATTTTGAATAGTGCAGAATATATAAGGAATAATTTCATCATCAGTAATATAGCAGTAATATTTATATAGTACGAGTTATGATCAGGTATAATACAGGGTGATTTCGAGGACTAGTTAGACGTATCTAAGAAAGTATAGCGATCCGAAATCTGAAAATTCAGGACAAGTAGTAATTGATGATGACTGGTATATGTATAATAGTTGTAACACAGTATAATTATTTTTTTCGAATGAAAACTCCAAAAATTCTGGGGGATTTTTTGTATAGTTTCCTGTTCTTGACATGAAGATCTAAGGAAATTT